GTACTTGGACCCTTAGGGTAGGCCAAACTTTCAATAAGCTAAATCCTGTCATCCCGTCCCGGGGGCAATTGCGCGGTCTGCTGACGGTTGTCCATGAATGTTCCACAGTGCCTCCAAAAGAACAGAGATGATTCCAAGATCAAGAGTTTAGGGTTTCCCTGGACTCTCCCAGGCATTCAGTTTTTGGGCTTGGCATAGCTTTTCGGTTCTGATCTTTTAGCACCCACAAGTCTAGGGTCCAGGGAACTTTGGCGCAGCTGATCCAAGCTTCATGCGATTCAAAATTCAGACCGTTGCGACAGGGTTGTGGCGCTCCTGGGATTAAAGGTTGAATGCGTGAACCTTGGATGTTACAAAACTTTTTGTGTATAAGTAGTAGATGGTATTAGGAATCAGGATAAGCTCTAGAAAATGTAGGATGCAGACCGCAAAAGGGATCGCATGTAGGGTGTAGGTCTCTTAGGTTCACGTCCTAAACCAGCAGCCAACCGCTCGTGCTCGGACACTGTCGGTGCGAAGCCTCATCTAGGATATGAGCTATAGTCTAAACTCCTAGTATCCCCCTTAATAAGCCCTATAGTAGTCCCCTATATAACCCCTATATAAACCCCCCTTTAAAGAGCTTAGGGCTCATATGGGGTTTAGTCTTCGAGGTTTGGGCCTAAAACTAAAGCCGGCGGAATTCTGCTTGCCCCGCAAGTTGGGCCCCAAAAGTATGTAAAATAATGGCCTTTATGGCTGTTATTTTGGGTTTAAGGCAATGATTTTACATACTTTTGGTGTTTAGGAAATACAAGAACAGGCGCTGCAAGCACTGCACTCTCAAGTTCCAACCAGCGCTGGGGCTGGCTATAACCCTAAACCCCATACCTCACACCCTAGGGCTTGGGTTTTAGGGGTATTGTGGAAGCCAGAAGCAGTACCAACCAATACCTTCCTTCTACAGTTAAATAGGGGTATACCATGGTCGCTAATAATGGGCATTTAGGACATAGGGTAGTTGGAGCGTATACCCGGGAGATCTAAACCTAAAACCGCCCCAAACCCCAAACCAACCCTAAACTTTTTACTTCAAGGAAGCAATTTGTGTGCCTGGCAAATGTGGGTTGCAGAGTCTCTGTAATCGTCTGACGAAGTGGCGAGCAATTCGATGCCACTCACCTGTAAGGAGCTTATGATGTACCTAAATCCCAGAGGGTCCAAGTACCCAATACTTGGGTACTTGGGTTTAGAGTAATAGTCATTGTAGTACAGGTTTTGGGTAACTATACAACTATTAGGTACTTGGACCCCTAGGGTAAATCCTCCTTCCACCCTATATTGTACCTAAATACCCAGTCTCTCGTTTATGGGCACAAGCAGTGGCGTGGAAGAAGCTTATGATATCAGGATGCATTCTGAGGCGTCCAGTCTCTGGGCTTCATAGATTGGACGCTTGGTATATATTGGGCTTCAGAAGGATCGCCCAGTAGACAGGGAAGTATTTGAGCTCTACGGATGGCGTTCGCATGCCATGTATGAACGAGCACATGCCCAGACACTTAGGAGTAGCCCTAACCCCTAAAGCCACGCTGCCTAAAGCCTAAACCGTACAAGGGTGACTGCACTTACGTACCAAGAAGGCCTGTTTGCACGTCATGTAAAGCACCCGCAATGCACATGGCAGCCGTAAAACCGTACAAGGCAGCGTCTTGGATCTAGGTTTTGAAGATTTGGACTCAGATGGAAACGTAGACACGTAATCCAATATACAGTATGACTCTCAATTTCCGCAGCTACAATACTAACCGCCATGTGTACCTCTATTTAAGTAAGGGTAGATGGATAGGATCCCTACGTTACGTTGGATACTAAAGGTCCTGCACGACCCTAAGTACCCTAAACCATGGTAATTATGGCATTCTGGAAAACTAAGGTCATGCAGGATTCTTAATATCAACAGTATGTCCGGGGCCCTGAACATATACACTATTCATAAACAGCAAGAAAGCCCACATTGCACCCTTTTCAAGAGGGCCGTACTTGGAGGTTCATGGGACTTAGTAACTATGTATAATTGGGGTTATAAGCCTACTTATACTTGGGGTAACCCCTATAAGGTCATTTACGGGGGGTTATAAGTAGGGTTATAAGCCCAGTTATAAGTAGTTACTATTTCCCATGAACCTCCAAGTAGCCTTCACAAGCCTATTCGCGGGCGGGTAACCCCTTAAAGGCAAGCTTAAAACCACTCAGCTCGGGGTTGTACCTGCAACCCAAAACCCTAAATCCTAAACCCCAAAGCCTAAACCCTAAAGCCTAAGCCCTAAACCCTAAACCCTAAATCCTAAACCCTAAACCCTAAACCCCAATTTTCTACAGCTTTAAGGGAGTCTACCTACTAAACAGGGGAGGCAGTGTTCAGACTGGCGTTGTTGCGAACAAGTCAGCCAGTGCCAGAATGAAGTCAAGAAAGGGGGGATTTATATAGGGGTTATATAGGGGACTACTACAGGGGTTATTAAGGGGGATACTAGGAGTTTAGACTATAGCTCATATCCTAGATGAACCCACATGATGGTTTTCAAAGGCAGGGGGCCTCTGCACATGCGCTCAAACACTCTAACCCGCATGTAAAGACTCCCAAAGAAGGGACCACAAGAAGTTCAGAAATCCTAAACCCCATGCCTATACCCTACACTGTGTACCCTAAACCCTGCACCCTAACATTGAGAAACCGCCATGAGGTTCAGAACCGCCTAATTTCTAAGCACATGCTGCCCGCTGTCTGACCTAGGCCTTCTGCACTCTCAACTTGAAACATCTTGAAACAGGGCTTAGGGTTTGGGGTTTAGGATTCAGGGTTTAGGATTCAGGGTGGGATGCAGCTGCCCTCCCACGTTCACGTCCTGAAGCTGCAACCGGTGATGAATGCACACACAGGATACCACCAAATGAGCCGACAGACATTCCATAAATAGGCAGGCCCAATATGGACACAAACATGCTCAAAAAAAAATCTGATTTTCAAGCACCCTCATATAATCATATGTAAGAAGCATAATCACCCTCATATAATCATATATGGCAAAACATGAGCTGTTTCCTGCAAGCGCCATTGCGGGACTGTCTTTCTTTATTTGGCTTTTGCTAGCCCCACGCCCCAAACCCTAAACCCCACGCCCGGAAGATTGACGGAAGAGTGACGGAAGACAGAAGTCCCTGGCTTTCTTGAGGTTTAGGGTTTAGGGTTTGAAGGTAGACAGCTTGCTCCGCATGATGCCTTACCCGTGAAAAACAGCCTCAAAACAGCACGCACCCTCGACCCTACTAGTTGTAATGCCCTAAGGTGCAAGCGGAATCCCAATCGCCAACCACCTACTAGTGTTCAATGGGGTTTTGGGGTTCGGGTTTAGGGTTTAGTTTAGGGTTAAGGGTTTTGGGTTTAGGGTGTGGCAGAGCGGATCTTCATAAAATTCCGTATGTAACCCCTCTTAAAATGCCCCATGCTGCAGTCACTCCCCCGAAGCCCTTGTAGAAAAGCCCTAAACCCACCTAAACCCAACACCCCAAACCCTACCCCCCCTAAACCCACCCAAAAACCAACACCCTAAACCCTGCAAACACTAAATTAAACCCACCTCAGCCCCAAACCCGAAACCTTATAAACCCTGCACCCACCCTAAACCAAAAACTCAATAACCGCTAAACCCACCTAAACCCCAAACCCCAATCGCCACCAAAGCGTAAGAGTGACGGGATAGCCCAGTCCTTTCTGGAATGTCTCGTGGTCCTGCAAACTTGGGCTTTAAGGTTTAGGGCTTCGGGTTGAGCGTACGTCTATCTCCATGTAGAACTGAATGCCAAGCCTCCGAACCCCCTTAATATGGCTACAAGTGGGATACAACCTTTCAACTGATGTAACTCCAAACCCATGAAAGAACCAGCAAAGCCGTATTCTGCATACTTTTGGGGAGGGCGAAAGCGTGATCTTGCATGAGGTAGCTGGGTCTGCTGCAGCTGCAGCATCCAGTCCTCCGAACCCCCAAAATGCAAGGCTTTAAAGTTAAGTTGGTAAGTTTGCCACCGCGAGCGTTTTGAGATCAGGAATGAAACCAGAAAAACGGTATGCCTCCCTGTTGGCCCGAAGAATGCCGAGGCGGACACATGACTGCGTTTACAACCATTCTGAGTTTTCACTTGTTGAAATGTGTGCATAGGAACATACACAGGTTACAACCATGCGCAGACTATGGTTTCGTGTTCATACTGACTGCCAGTGCGGGTAGGCCCTGTCAAGATCCGCTTTGCGGCTTACGTCTTGGATGTTGTGCCTTCTTAAGCAACGGAGGCGAAGTGTTGGTGCCGTTTGCAGAAACCTCCACAAGAATCGGTACCCTGAATTGGGGCTATGGGTACGCAAGTATGGGTACTTCGGCCTAATACAGGGTAGTTGGAGGGTCTAGGTGCGGAGATTACACGGACCATCGAAAATTCACTTAGGTAGCTTGAGGGGGGGTAATCAGTTCGCACTGTGATTATGACACAGTTCTGTCACACAGGTACCCAGCGCGGTATTGAGTTTTGATGATCTAGCTACAGTTAGCATCTACAGTGGACCTCTAAACCCTAAACCCTAAAGTGCTGGGGCTAACTTCTAGGTTCCACGCCAACAACTTGTGGGACTTCAAACGAGAACCTCGAAGTCTCCCAGGGTTTAGGGTTTAGGGTTTAGGGGCAACTACGAGGGCAATATCATCTCACTCTATATTGGTGGCGTGAATCTCCCTGTGAGATACTGCTCACCGGGACTTGATGCAACACCCTCAGCCCACTAAACCTTCCCCCGCCGCTAAATCCCAAACCCTCAACCCCCGAAACCATGACCCCCTAAACCTAAACCTAAGCCCCCTAGACTTAAACCCCCTAAACTCCTAAACCCTGAACCCCAAACACCTTAAAGCTAAATCCACTCAACCCTCAACCCTAAACCCCCTAAACCCCTCAACCTAATCCCACTAAACCTACACCCCTGACTTAAACTGTCAACACCTCAGCCTAAATCCTAAACATCCTGAACCCTGAACCCCATCAACCTAAACCCCCAAAACCCTAAACCCTGAACCCGATAAACCTAAACCCCGTAAACCCTCAACTCCCATGCACCTAAATCCAGTAAACCTAAACCCTAAACAGCCTAAACCCAACGCCCCTAAACCCTGAACCGTGAACCCCCTAAACCCCAAACTCCATGAACCTGAGCCCACTAAAGCCAAATCCCCTCAACCCTCCACTTACACCGCGTAAACCTGACCCCCTCAACCCTGAACCCTGAACTAAACCCACTTAACCTGAACAACCTGAACCTAAACCTCCTCAACCCTAAACCCCTAAACCCACCAAACCTAAACTCACTTAACCTCAACCCCTCCCCACAGCAATCCCCCTCAACCCTGAAGCTCCTGAACGCCGCTTAAACCTAACCCCCTCAACCCTAAACCCTAAACCCTAAACCCTGCGGCTCCAGGCAAAGAGCATCCTGCAGGTGCTGAACCTGTGGCCTGCGCCGCTTGGGGTTTTATAGTCCCCCTTAAGTAGGTAGAATATTAGGGATATATTGGGGTTATATAGGGATAATGGAAAAGAAAATGGAAAATACTATTTAGGGTTTGGGGTTTAGGGTTATAATCCCCCCTTAAGTAGATAGAATATGGCTTTGGGTATACTGTAATAAGATCCCCATATACCCCCATATTCTATCTACTTAAGGGGGACTATAGGTGTTTCAAGGTTCAGGGTTTAGGGTTCAAGTGTTTAGAGTTCAGTTGGTTTAGGTTAGGGTTCAGGCTTTAGGGGTGTAGGGTTTGGGGGTTTAGGGTGTAGGGATTAGGGGTTTGGGGTTTGGGGTTTGGGGATTTAGGGCTTGGGGTTTATGGGTTCAAGAGTTTAGGGGTTCGAGGTTTAGCGGTTCGGGGTTTTAGCGTTTAGGGGTTTAGGGCTTATGGGTTTGGGGGTTCAGGGTTCAGAGTTAAGGGGTTTAGGTTTGAGGTGTTGGGGTTTAGGGTTTAGGGTTGAATCTTCTGTGCCCACTAAAACACCCTCCCACCCCCAGAAAACAACACTGGCAGTAGTAATACTCTTGTGATACCAGCAGAAAGAGTGTAACAACAACAAGAATGAATCTTCCAGCTAATATATCATAATGGTGCTATATGGGAGGTATTTGTTGTCAAGGCAGTTCAGAGGGCATCATTTGGGGGAGGGTGTTTCTGGAGGGTTCCCCCAATTGCCACCAGGAGCATGTCTTTTGCCCCGGGTTCTGGCTTTTGAGAAAATAGCTCAAGACCAGAAGCACTCGGCCCTAAGCTGAAAGGTTCTCGTACCCAGGGCATTGAACCTGTAAGTGCGATCTCGGCATGTCCAATGACCGCAGTCGCCATTTGTATCACAAAAATCCCATAGTCCTAGCTAGCACCAGGGACACCCAACTTCATCAACACGGCAACCGCTGGTAGCTCTGATGTCAATATCACCCACTCGGTACCCTTCTGGATACGCAGGGAAAGCATCTTTGTAGGGCGGTGGGTTTCGAAACGAGAAAAGGAAGAACAAGTCAAAATTCGAGCATCTAGTGGCACATAGTAGAAAATGTCTCGGACCCTCCAAACTCAAAACCCCAAACCCACAACTCTAAAGCTCCTGGCGGTCAAGGGACCCGACCTCAGGGTGAGGAGGTGGGTCATAGCCCCGGCGCATGAAAACGTGTAAGGAAGTCTGAAGACACCCAATGGAAAGCATTGAAACACACCGCGCCATTCCCCATGCCCAAAAGATTCAAGTCTACACATAATACCCACGATGGTCCTACACCTAAACCCTAACCCTAACACCCTATATGACTAAGAGCAACCCTGGACTATAGAGAACTCAACACCCCGCAGCGGGTCCCGATGCACGCGTGGAGACGGTCTGCGCGACACCACTCAAGGCCCTCCATAGGATAGTTCGTGGAACCTGGGTTCTTGTTGAAATACTGTTGATGGAGGGAATCTTGCACCACCTAAGTCCTTAAAGTCCCAGGAATTGCAATAGTTTAGGGCCCCTACTTGGTGCAAGATTTCATCCATCAACGGTACCATTAACAAAAAAAGTTCTGTTGATATTGGGCTCAGGTATCCATAAAAAGGTAAAATCTTGTTCTACAAGAGCCCAGGAACAACGCAGCAGTTCCGCCGTTCTTCCTGGTAGTTGTGGTGCAGGGTTGGGCTTTTAGGCTTCAAGGTCTTCCTGGAAACCCAAGTAGTAGTTTAGTAGTATGTATCCCCTAATTAGTAGGTATAACTTAACATATAGGAAGCTGTAGGTATTTGGGGTTGTAGGTTGGGCTTGGGTTTAGGGTTAGGACTTTCGAGCTCCGGCTTTCAGGTACATTTGGTACATGCAAGCTCCGGAGACCGAGGTTTAGGGTTTAAAACCCTAAACCCATAACACTAAACCCCCTGTATACAAGACTAACTCTGGAAAGCCTATCACCCTGTATACTTCCACACAGAACCGCTTCCCAAGGGAAGCAAATACTTCGCAACACTACAGTTCCTATAAGATGTGTATCAACATACCAGAAACCAAAAAGCTGGGACCTCTACGAGGGTTTAGGGGTTAGGGCTTAGGTTTTAGGGCCCCCTACCCCCTTAAAACGATGTTCTCGCTCCACAACATTACGTGTCATCCCTGTGTATTCCTTTCATATGTAGCGTATGAAGCATACCTCCAAACCACTCAAAACCCTTCTGGCAAAATATTACTAACTCGTGACAGACAGGCATCACTCTATGTTGCAGTAAGATACTGGATCGTGCGAAGGGAACAAATGAGCAGTGCTTTTCTGGTAGTTGAACCAGGTCACTCTCTATTGTAGACTGAATTACCCCCATGAAATATGCAATGCATCCTTCTCACTCCAACTACCCAGGCGCTTCTATGCAGTTTCTTGCTGTGTTTGTTATGGTTGTTGGCAAGGGGTTAATACTATACTACTCAAAGAACTACATAGAATGTCCTGGTTAACATGAGCTATATTCTAAACTCCTAGTCTCCCCCTGAATAACCCCTATAGTAGTCCCCTATATAATCCCCTATATAACCCCCTGTAAGGAGTTTAGAATATGGTACACATGAACCCAAACCTTCGACTCCACCAGTATCCCTAAACCCATGACCCTGAGCCTCTGAGCTGAAACAAACTCCACACGATTTAGGGTTTAGGGTTTAGGGTCCCTAAACCCCAAACCCCAAGCCCTAAACCCTAAATACCCGCAGCTTTCCCCTAGACCCAGAGAGTTCTTAGTTGGCATAGGGATGCTACAACAGATTCGCAGCGCCCCGATTCCCTCAACCTTAAGGTTTATGCGGTTAGGGCTGAAGAATCTCCACACATTGAATAAGCACACCACAAGTTCTACTCCCCCCCCAAAAAATTATGGAAGCGAACCTTTCTACGGGGGACTAGGCCCCAACGACTGAGACCCATCATAATGCAACCCGAACTCTAGGAATCTGAACTTGGATGGGTTTTGTGTTTAGGGCTGGGGGTTTAGGGGGGTTTAGGGTTTAGAACTTCGGGTTTAGAGTTTCCCAACATGAGGGGTACCTTATTGGTGGGGGCGGGGGCGGGGGGAGGGGGGGGTCCCTGTAGTAAGGAGTATAGTATTTGGGGTTTTATGTTGGGGTCCCCCTATTTGGGGAAACTACCAGATCAGCTACAGTCAATATTTCCCATATAGCTTGTGAACATGGATTCCTGTTAGGGAATAGATTTGTGGGACTTTGCTTAACTGCCAAAGGGATCCCTATATACACCCTTAACGGTCCGTCGGCAACCCTAATATCGACAGTAGCTCAAATGAGCTACGATTAATATCTCCTACACAATTTAATGGATGGGTTCCTTATTAGTGGCCATTTCGAGGACTACACCAAACCCCAAGAGGGAACCCTATGTCCACTATTAAGGGTCATAGCGTTGAGAGTAGATATGGCCTAACCCAAGCCGCAGACCCCTAGATTTCTGGCAGAGGGTCTGATCCAGACATGGGGTTCATCACTGACCTGTGCCCTTCCAGCCAGCATCGTCAGAGAATCCTGTTGGTGGAGGTTTTTGGGATTTGAAATCGAGCCGTCTTCAGTAATTGGGTACAACCACCAAGAAGTCCCTGCAAAGGGGTTGTAGGCCTTGTATATGGATGAACACTTATTGCTTTGTTTGATGAGGTGTGTGGACGTATGCGTAGCTGGAGATCCTCTGCATTTAGTTGCATTGCTGACTATAGTATGCTGATGGCCAGTTCTAGCCGAGGTTATTGCACTTGGGTGGGGGGACCTGCTGGGTCACACTATGAATACAATGAGTTACTGACTACAGCGGACTTCCAAAAAGGGCTAAACATCCCAGACACAGAGGCGGCTTGAGCTTAGGCTCCAAAATTGAGGGCGTTCCAGGTGCCGAACTCTGGTTTCAGGCTTATCTGGTGATAGGAGGTATAGTCCCCCTTAAGTAGATAGAATATGTATGGGGTATATGGGGATCTTATTGTAATATTCCCAAAGCCATATTCTATCTACTAAAGGGTGACTATATGTAGAAGGCTGTGCAGGGCCTATATGCTTCCCTAGGTTTAGGGTGTGGAACCTTAACAATGCGAACGGCTATTTGGCAGTCTGAAACACAGTGGCGAGTTTCTCCAAGTAGGGGCGCGCCACTAACACTTAGGATGGGTTTAGGGCTTCGGGGCTGTAGGGGGTCCGGTAATCATGGGTCCCCCTGCTACCTACTGGCCCCTTCCCAGGTTCACCCTGAATCAAACTTACTTAGGACATGTAGGTCGTAACATTCATCGACTCTGGGGCCGATGTAGGTATTTTTGGTAGACTTGGAGCCCCAGGGATAAGGTTAGGGGTTGACTTGGACCCCAACAATATTGTGGCTGTTATTTTGGGTTTAGGGCTATTATTTTGCATACTTTTGGGGTTTAGGTAGGGGTTAGGGGTTTAGGGTTGGCTGGATGAACCTCGACTTGCACTAAGCACCTGAGGAGCTTTCCTTGCCTTCCATAAAAGCTCATGAGCCTGAACCTTGCCTCAGAAACCCAGATACCAGAGCGCTACTCCCCCTAAACCCTAAACCCTAAACCCTAAACCCTGAAGACCTTAAACCCTGAATCTTAAACCGTAGACCCTGGACCCAACACCCTGAACCCTAAACCCCAACCCTGCATCCCAACCCAGAATATTGCCCCCGAAGTCTGTAAAGTGATTTCGGTGCTACGAGTCTGCTCAATTACTTCCTGGGTAGGAGCTTAACCCAGGTAGGCCCAAATTACTATCTGGCCAGAGCTTCAACCACTCCACCGGCCTTAAACTAAACCCTACACCGTACTTGAAGGCTCAGGGGGACTTAGTAAGCAAATTAATTGTGGGGATACATTAGGGTTATTATATGGGTTACAGGGGTTATTAGCCTACTTACTAAGTCCCCTTAACACTCCAAGTAGCATTCTGCTTGAAACCTTATTTCAAAGGGAGCTTTGCTTGGCACTTAGGTGTATAAGCTCCCCAGGGTCCTTTTTTCTCCTTACCAGGACCCTCCTAGTAGCCCTAAATGGGGCTATACGGCCCCAGGAAGTGTCAGTCAGGATGTCCTGCATGACCCTGGTCATGTTGGCTGATTTTCCCCCAGCAAACCTGGGAGCTTTGCAAGGGTTTTGGGTTCGGGAGTTCAGGGGGAACAGGGGAGGGGATCCATGTAATCCACTAAGCCTAAACCCTAAACCCTAAACCCAAACCCTAACTAAGGTAGTACCCACTCCCCTTTAAGCACCCGCAAGAAACTTGGAGGTCGTCTTAGAACTTTAGCAGGTCAGGGCTTCTCAAAGTGCAGCCCACAGGAATTGCTTAAGGTGCCTGTGCAGAAGACCTGACAGAAAGGACCCTAACGGTCCAAGGACCCAAATTATAGGGTTTTAGGGCCCAAGTACCATTTATATCATGGTATTAGGGCCCTAAAACCACATTATTTGGGTCCTTGGACCCTTAAGGGGAGTCTTAACCCTGACAGGCCGCACCACGCAACTTCCCCAAACCAGCGCCTCTCATCAATCTTCAGGTCTTATAATAGTCTTATAAGGCGGGGCAAGGTGTCCTTTGGGGAGGTATCAAGGGGTATAAGGGGACATAGGGGTAGAATATAGGGTTCATATAGGGATATGGAAAAGAAAATGGAAACTACTATGTAGGGTTTAGGGTTTAAGGGTAATTATTCCCAACTCATCTCTAAACCAACACCTTTTAACCTTAAACCCTAAACCCTACATAGTAGTCTCCATTTTCTTTTCCATTATCCCTATATGAACCCTATATTCTACCCCTATGTCCCCTTATAATATACCCCTCAACCCTAAACCCTTAACCTCGCTGTGGTGTCGGTAGGTTGCAACAGCTCCGATCGAGTTCTTCCTTTGACAGGTCTACCTGTGCAATTTGGGGGGTGTTCATAGGCAGATTTTTGTACCTGCTTTGCTTGAGGTAGGATCCCCAAATCCTGTAACTCCTATAAATCCTACAAGCCCTAAACCCTAAACCTAGGATACAAGCAGATGAAGTGGCGTAAACTTTCCTCCATCCACAATACTGCTGAGCTATTGTATGCATTTAGCCCGCTGCAAGGCACCCAACAGGAATTGTCTGTACATTCTACTGTATGGGCCTTCATAACCATATGACTTCGAATGATTTCAGAGGTACTTTATACCATGAACTCTGCAGGTGATACCTCCCCATAGTGTGTAAGACATTATGAGGACAATTACAGAGATTAAGAACGCCTTTTTGGGTTCTACATCTGGGGGGGGGGGCACCGCTAAGAACCCTAGACCCTAAGCCCTAGGCTACTCCCCTAATTCCGAAGCCCTAAAAACTAAATCCTGAACCCTAAGCCCTAAACCCTAAGTTGTAGCGGGCCACAGATTGCGACACCCACGCCGGAGAAGTTCGCAGAGGAATCCTAAGCGGCTGTTCGGTAACTTAAATCAACGTACTATCATGAGGAACTATAGACCCATAATATGATAACTTCAATCCCTAAACCCTAAACAACCTTAAATACTATGGTAACTTGACTTAACTTCTTTCACAACAATGCCTAAACCCTCAACCCTAAATAATCTGTTAAGTTCCTTAACAGCAACCAAGAATCGGGTACACGTTTGGAATTTCCAGCCTTGAACCTCTCGCACACGGGAGGCTTCGTGGAGACGAAGATTCGGCTTCCCGGTCTTGTCCCGCATTCAAGAAGTTACCCTAATAAGTGTCCAAGTACCTGATACCTAAACCCCAAAAGTATGTAAAATAATAGCCCTAAACCCAAAATAACAGCCATAAAGGCCATTATTTTACATACTTTGGGGGTCCAGTTAATTGTATACTTACCCCAAATCTGGACTATAATTGCTATTACACCAAGCCCTAGTACCTAATTATTGGGTACTTGGACTCTCTGGGTTAGGTTTAGGGTTAGGGGAAAGCGCTCCAAACCCTGGATGACCTCGGTTTCACTCTCCTTAACTTACCACTATCTTTTCCATCCACTTCTCCATCATCAAAAGAAAAATGCCCAAACCATGCTACTTCTGCTTAACCCCGACAGGCCCTATACTATTTCACCCATGTCTACAACATGGCTCCTTGCTTTTACTGGCAAAAATCCAGGGCCCAGCTCGTTTGCTAGGTAGGTATATTCCGAAACACGCCATATGAGCCATAATCTAAACTCCTAGTATCCCCCTTAATAAGCCCTATAGTAGTCCCCTATATAATCCCCTACATATCCCCCTTTAAGGAGTTTAGACTATAGCTCATTTGACTCTTAATACAGTAGCAACTCTAGGAGGCTTTGGGAGGAGACAGGTTGGGTTTTCCTAATCAGCTCGTGGGTGTAGGGTTTAGCGCGCTGGGCAAAATCAGCTAACACAATTCGCGTATTACTACCAGATAATGTAGGTGGACCAACCCGAACAGGTGAAGTCGTTTTTGTTTGCAAGGTGAAGGGGGCAGGCATAATCGAAATGCTGCATGCCTAGGCACCAGGACAACGCCTGACACAGGCAAGGACGCCCCGAAGCCCTAAACCCTAAACCCTCAACCCTGAATCCTAAACGTTAGGGTTTATAGTAATTAAACCTTTCTTCGTACTGGCATGACATAATTATTTGGGCAAAAGGTTGGGCTAGCATTAAATTAGGCCGTTCCAAACCCTAAACCCTAAATCCTAAAACCTACATTCTCTCTAAACATTGCCGTCAGCCCTACACTACACACCTATACCTCTGGCGAAGGATGAATCCCGGAGACGAGTGTTGGAACCCCTGGAACCGCCGTCAAACAGCGAATGGCCCTATTTTAGGGGCGCATACCCCTAAACAGCCTGACCGTAAAGCTACAGACCGCCGCCCCAAACCTCTGAAGCCCTGGTCTCGCCTCAAAGTCTAGGAACATGTGGCATCGCTGATTGACATCTTCACGAGGTGCTAAGGCCCATTCCACCATATCTCACAGGGCAGGCGGTTGATGTGGTTTAGGGTTTAATTAGGGCTTAGGGGTTCACCCAGGTGAGGGGTTGTTTAATGGGGTGCTATTAGTGATGACCCGAACATAAAAACTGTAGGTAGCTGAGGTTGCAGGCGGGTGAGGGTGAATCCTCCATGAAGGACAAAAGGGGAAATGTCCGCTCTGCGTAGGTGTGTACACACACTCGGGATGGTTTGCAGGCGGATGCGATGGCCAGTCTATTCTACGCCCCTCTTTGCTGTCTTTCTCCCATTGGGTCAAGTCTGGGCGAAACTCAACCCAACCCTAAATCCAGGCCGAACAGAAACGTGTTTAGATCTTACCTTGTGGAGTGCTTCGTAGCGCGGAGAAGTAGACGGTACAGGATCTCATAGCTGGATGAGGCGGGGAGTCCTACCGTGATGCCTTCTGCGCCATCCATGCGCAGCTCCACACGATACATCTTGGCTGCCTTGGCAGAGTTTGAGGGTGCAAGCTTAAGGTTTACAGAGTAAAGGGTTTAGGGTTGAGGGGCTAGGGTTTACAGTTTTACGTTTTACGTATGGGTCTTCGTCTTGCGTGCGGAGAGCCATTTACAAATCACGAGGTCATTCTCTCATAAGACGCCAGATGTCGTTGCTGGCGCAATATGGTAATGTTTGTGGTTATATATACAGCCCGAAACCAATAATCCCTGATATTGGCACCCCTGATGTTGCGAAACCCCCATATGAGGCTCACGGTGTACGCATCATCTCAACTCGACGGTCAAAGCTGATGGAACCAGCTGCCAGAAATAATGAAGACCAGCACAAGCTTCCATAAAAAGACCCCTAAATACTACAATCCTTGCTATAGCGCTTCATGTTGGGGAAACCCTGAACACTATGAACCCTTAACAAACCCCTTTTGTCCGCATACACCCCCATACAACCTCGTTAAAGGGACCTAACTCTGGGAAACCCCCCTATCGCCTCAAGCACCGACTGTTGAACTGACACCCTTCGGGCAACATCGTCATCCCAGCGAGTTGGGTTTAGGGTTTAGCGTTTAGGGTTTAGGGCAGAAATGTGCAGCTGCCTGGTAACTCGGCACACATGGGCTTCATGCACTCATGTACATATGGGGGTTGTCCAATATTCTTTCATCTCGAATTGGGGGCTTGCGCCGTGCTTGCGCGGAGCTTGCGCGAGCTTGCGCACGCACAGTTTGGCTTACAATGGTTTTCGTGCAGGCTCATCACACAACAACTATA